ATTTACATATAGTTACATACTAGCGGTTACCAAATACATTCCCTCCCAGCATTTTCATAGAGCAGTTTTCATAGTACATTTACATACTTCCCGTTTCATAGTACTTTTCATAGTACATTTTCAACTACAGTTTTCATATTTCAAATTTTCATAGTAGCATTTTTCATCAGCAGTTCAAAAGAAAAGTTTTCAAACTAGCAGTTAAAAAAAAAAAAATTTAAAATAAACAGTTCATAGTACATTTACATACAGCATTACTATAAAATTTACATAGTTTCAGTTTTTCATACTAGCAGTTTCATAAATACCCGTTTTCTAGTACATTTCCCTACTAATTTCCCTAGTAAGTTACATACTAGCAGTTACATAGTAAAATTACAGCTAGATTAATGTACATTTTCATAGTACATTTACATACTAGCAGATACATAGTACAGTTACATACAGCATTTAAAATACAGCATTTTGTACTAGCATTACGTACTAGCATTCACACTAGCAGTTACATAGTACCTTTACCCAGTACGTTTCTATTTCATTTCAAAAGTACCCTTTTCATACACAGTTACAAAACTAGCAGTTACAAGTAAAAAGTTCATATTAAAAGGGACTACTAGCAGTTACATGTAAATTTCATAGTCCGTTAAAAATAGTACTGTTCAAAACACATTTTTCATATTCAGTTACAAAAAAATATGGTTCCAAAAGTACAGTTTTCATCTTTGCAGTTTTCGTACTACCGTTAAATTACTAGCAGTTACTATTTAAAATTTACATCTAGGGTTCCTTTTTAAAAAGTTACCTCCCAGCAGTTCCTCTAGGGATTTTTTCTTACTAGCAGTTACATTTGTACATTACAAAATAGCAGTTACGTACTAGCATTCGTACTAGCCTTACGTACTAGCATTACACCCCAGTTACACAAATACAGGGTTTCAACTAAAATTACAAAATAAAAGTTTCATAGTACAGTTCCCTAGTACAGTTCATACTAGCCCGTTCCCCACAGCGTTACATACTACATTCATAGTACAGTTACCCATACAAATTTTCATACAGCAGTTAAAATACTACTTACATAGTACGTTACATAGTACTGGGGTTAAACCAAAAAAAAGGGAAACAAAAAATTTTTTTCCCCCCTAGCCCTTTTCATAGTTTCATTTTCATACTAGAGTTACCTGTACGTTTTCATAGTACAGTTACTACTGCAGTTACTAGTACAGTTACATACTACATTTTCTAGTACATTTCATGCTAGCAGTTACATAGTAATTTACCCCCGTACATTTTTCATACTAGCAATACAGATAAAGTACAAAATCCCAGCAGTTTTTCATACTAGCAGTTACGTAAGCAGTTACGTAAAGCAGGTACACACTACCCTTACATACTATAGTTACTATAGCAGTTACATACTAGCAGGGGACAAAACCCCCCAGTTTAAAACCTAGCAGTTACAACCCCTACATTTTTCAAGTAAAAGTTCATAGTAAAATTTCATAGTAAAAGTTTTCATAGTCAGTTTTAACCCTCCCCGCAGTTACATACTAGCAGTTTTCATAGTACATTACATGTACAGTTACATACTAGCAATTTTCAAGTACCGTTTACATAGTACTGTTCCCCTTATGTTACATGTAAAAGTTTCCCTACTTTGCAGGTTTCCCTAGTACATTACATACTGTGGTTACATAGACCTTTCATACTAGATTTTCCTCTAGCATTTCTTACTACAGGTTTCCTATAAAAGTTACAAAAATACCCTTTTCGTACTAGCGTTACGTCTGCAGTTACGTACTGCAGGTACACACAACGTTACCCTACTATAGTTTTTCCTAGACTTTTCTACTAGCAGTTTCACCCTAGCAGTTTACATTTTCTAAAAGTTACATTTGTACAGTTTTCCCTATTTCATTTTTCATATCCTAAAAACTACCTTTAACACTAGCAGTTTTCATCTACAGTTTTCATAGTACAGTTAACCCAGTACATTTTCAAATAACATTAAAATCTAGCATTTTATACTAACCAGTTACATAGTACAGTTACATAGTACTGTTACATAGTACAGTTACATACTAGCAGTTACATAGTACAGTTACATACTAGCAGTTACATAGTACAGTTACATAGTACAGTTACATACTAGCAGTTCGATAGTACACTGTGTAGTGCACACTGTTTGAAGCACAGTCATACGTTAACCATTTGAACCCTGTCTCTATGCTATGGTGCAATGCTTACTTGAACGCTCATTGTTCATTGACGTCTACTTGAATGGGAGTGGTTTAATATATACATTCATACTTTACTCAGTATACATTTATACTTTACTCAGTATACATTCATACTTTACTCAGTACACATTCATACTTTACTCAGTTGCAGTGAGGTTCTTTGATAAAGTGAAACAGTCATGCAGTGAATAGCCAACGTTATATACTTTACATGTCATACAATTACACATTTAAAGCATACTCCCCAAAGTCACATAATACACATTAAAATACACTTGTATTTACTGTCAAAAACGACACGGTCATACTCAACATTCTACACTACCCATTATACTAATGTGATCCATGCCAATGTCCGAGTTACGTTCTCACGTTCCACCCATCGGGTCTTAGGGCCTTAGCTGTCTGACCATCACCCTCCACCCACAAAACGCTTTATTTCCCCCTGTCCTGGTTCTGGGTCTGGGTCTGGCTGGGTGACCACGGGGAGTGATGGAGCAGAGTAAGCCCTCTGTAGTAGTGAGTCTGAATCAACAGGAAATTGAAAGGCCTTGACAGAAATGTGAGAGAGCCTGTGTGACTGCAGGAGAGGAAAGGAATTTCCCCACTGGGCACATACGTCAGTTTAACGTCTAGTTTTTATTAACATTTGGTTGAGGTCTGGGTGGCCAGTGGGACCTGTCTCCACTTTCCCTGTAGCAGGAGGTCTGGGTGACCAGTGGATCCTGTCTCTACTCTCCCTGTAGCAGGAGGTCTGGGTGACCAGTGGATCCTGTCTCTACTCTCCCTGTAGCAGGAGGTCTGGGTGACCAGTGGATCCTGTCTCTACTCTCCCTGTAGCAGGAGGTCTGGGTGACCAGTGGATCCTGTCTCTACTCTCCCTGTAGCAGGAGGTCTGGGTGACCAGTGGATCCTGTCTCTACTCTCCCTGTAGCAGGAGGTCTGGGTGACCAGTGGATCCTGTCTCTACTCTCCCTGTAGCAGGAGGTCTGGGTGACCAGTGGATCCTGTCTCTACTCTCCCTGTAGCAGGAGGTCTGGGTGACCAGTGGATCCTGTCTCTACTCTCCCTGTAGCAGGAGGTCTGGGTGACCAGTGCTTCACGGTAAAGCATACTGCTGGCTTGTAACACACTATCTATCAGCATAAATATGCAAGTGTACAGTAGATTGTCTATTATAGTTCTAGATTGTCATGAAAATGAGTAGTGGTGCTGGATAGGATAGAACCTAAAGAGATTAGATGTGAGGCTTGGTAGGTATATATGATTGAAATTGTATTTGTCTCTCTGTGGTTTGGTACGTTTGACAAGACATCACATCACTGTTTTCAGTGTCAGGAGGGAGAACAGAGCATCCACAGCTCTGTTGGGATTGGGGAGGGGGCATATAGTGTGTGATGGAGGCTGACTGACCCAGAGAGGGGAGGCTGACTGACCCAGAGAGGGGAGGCTGACTGACCCAGAGAGGGGAGGCTGACTGACCCAGAGAGGGGAGGCTGATTGACCCAGAGAGGGGAGGCTGACTGACCCAGAGAGGGGAGGCTGACTGAGGGGGAGGTGAACTGAGGGGGAGGCAGACTGACCCAGAGAGGGGAGGCAGACTGACCCAGAGAGGGGCGGCAGACTGACCCAGAGAGGGCAGGCTGACTGACCCAGGGAGGGCAGGCTGACTGACCCAGAGAGGGCAGGCTGACTGACCCAGAGAGGGCAGGCTGACTGAGGGGGGGGCAGGCTGACTGAGGGGGAGGCAGACTGACCCAGAGAGGGGAGGCAGACTGACCCAGAGAGGGGAGGCGGACTGACCCAGAGAGGGGAGGCGGACTGACCCAGAGAGGGGAGGCGGACTGACCCAGAGAGGGGAGGCGGACTGACCCAGAGAGGGGAGGCGGACTGACCCAGAGAGGGGAGGCGGACTGACCCAGAGAGGGGAGGCGGACTGACCCAGAGAGGGGAGGCGGACTGACCCAGAGAGGGGAGGCAGACTGACCCAGAGAGGGGAGGCTGACTGACCCAGAGAGGGGAGGCTGACTGACCCAGAGAGGGGAGGCTGACTGACCCAGAGAGGGGAGGCTGACTGACCCAGAGAGGGGAGGCTGACTGACCCAGAGAGGGGAGGTGGACTGACCCTGCGGTGACACAGGGGTTGTTGATGGCCCTACATTTTTCATCTCAAAATCACTCCTCTCTTGTGGAGGATGGACAGTGTATCTGTCTGAATGAACTGACCACCTCTGAGCTGCTATGGGTTTCAGAGGAGGGTTGTTCCCTGGCTTTTACCACCTCTATAAGCACTGTTCTCAGAGCAGTTCTGCTGTTTTTAATTGAGCCAAAGTCGCCCTGACAAAGCAGTTCAATTTCAATCAAATGGCATTTTCATCAGTGACACATTTCAATAGAGGAATTCTGAATTGATTCTTCTCACTCCACACCCCCTGACCAATACCATTAGGCATATCACTATTCATTATAGATTTTCATACAAAAACAATTAGATCAGCCTCCCATTCAATCCGAAAGAGCCAAGTTTTATGCCTATTTTTATTCAATTCCAGTGCTACTTAATCATCAGCATCTAAGGTAGAGAAACTCCCCGCTGTTTTCTGAGACGTCTCACGGCTAGCTGCTCTTAACTGGAGGGGCTGCTGCTTGTTTGGAGGCTACATTAGCTGCTAGCTCATTAGGTGGCTAATGCTAAATTCATTTGCGTGCCATGCGGCGTTGTTTACCCCCCACCGCCCCCCCATTCATCTCCTCACATAGCGCTGGGTAAGCAGAGGAGCCAGAAGTCCAGGCTGCACCTGATGCATCGTCTTGGCGCGTACCACATCCCACCTGGGGTGGGGGTGGGGGGGGGCGCGAGCTGGAGCATCTTCTCTAATGGAGAGAAGGAAACATTAGCGCTATTCGCACGGCACCCCACTGGGCTACAAACAAACGGCACGCAATTATCCTGCTAATTAAACAGGTGCAATAGTTTGTCAACAACCTCCTCAGGAGTAAATCAATCACGGACTGGCAGATTGTGTTTTGCCCAGTTTTTCAATGTTGGTCATCAGCAGAGAAGAGAGATGTCTTAGTGCTGGGATAGACAGGACCAATAATATGCCGTTTAGCAGACGCTTTTATCCAAAGCCACTTACAGTCATGTGTGCATACATTTTTACGTATGGGTGGTCCCTGGGATCGAACCCACTACCCTGGCGTTACAAGCGCTATGCTCTACCAATTGAGCTACAGAGGACCACAAGCCAAGCCATCCTAACACGCAGAACTTAGGAAGGAAAAAGAGGTGCAGGTGAGATGGGTAGGTGACGTCCCGTGTGGCTCAGTTGGTAGAGCATGGCGCTTGCAACGCCAGAGTTGTGGATTCGATTCCTACGGGGGACCAGTATGAAAACATGTGTGCCCCACTGTAAGTCGCTCTAGATAAGAACGTCTGCTAAATGACAAAAATGTGAAGGAAGAAAAGTGATGTCAACAGAAAATGTGTTGGTAAACTTTCCAAATGTCGACAAAACAAAATACGCTAGACAAGGTGGGATCTTTTTGTGTCTGTAAAATTAATTATGGGAGAAATGTCGGTGGAAATGCTTTTATGTACAAATATTGATATAATAACCATCATATCAAAGTAAACTTGGAGTCGGACGGTGTTGTGTGGTCCTCCCACTACAACTCGTCGGGAAAGCGTGCATTTTATTAGGCTACAGATTAAATAAGTTATGATGAACTTCACAGGGTGGTGAAAGTGCAAGTTGATGAGCTTGATGCTCCTTTCCAATAAATATTGAAGGGCTTGTTCTGGTGACATGATGATCGATGCCTGGATGCCGTTTGACAAATAAAAAGAATCATCATGAAGGCTATACCTGCACTGTATCTGCCAGCTGCTGGCTAGAGCGCACTTGCAAATACCAGAGTGGGCACACTCGCTATATAACGCAAAGCATTTTTGTGAGAAAACCATAAGTAGAGTTGAAACCCATTTAAATTTTATTTTTTATTTGGTACAAGGGAATTTAACCGCAAAATATATTTTTATATGCACTATGTCATAACGCACAACGTTTTATCTGCAACAACTCAATTTGATGGAAACACATCTCTGGTGGGAAAATGCGCATATTGTTTTTATGCAGATTTTAGAATATTCACATGGACATCTGTCACTCATTGGATGGAAACCTAGCTACTGAAAGGAGAAGATGTGAGCGATAAGACATCTAATTTACCTTGTGTAACAGTGTTGGTTAGATAGAGGAGATGCCTGATGCTGAAGCAGACTGGGAGGTCTATCAGGACCTGCCCAGGCTAGCTCCCCTTGTATCAACTACTCCGGGATCAGGACCCAGTGCGTTCAACCAACACACATACCAGTAATCCCTGCATACCTGCAACTGACTAGCCCCTCTGGCTAGCCCCTCTGACTAGCCCCTCTGGCTAGCGCTGCCTCTGTTGACCACTTAACCTCTGACATAACTGCTGTAAAACCAACAACCTCTGGGTTTCTTTCTGCTTTTAATGAGTTGGTTGTAAAATGCTGGAGAGGATTGCTAGAACAGGCCCAATAGAAATGGCTCATTTGACATGTTGGTTAGTACTTAGGTTTAGATCACGCTTGCCTCCTCAATGTGCACCTGGCACCTATACAGCTTCCTTGTCTCTGATCCACAAGGCCCTGACACACCACACACACACACACACACACACACACACACACACACACATACACACACACACACACACACACACACATACTCTCCCCACCCTGCCTTTTCTCATCAAGCCAAGATCAAAAACAGGTGGCTGCTTTGGGGTCATGTCACCAGGCTAAGGAAATCGCCCTGAAGATGGCTTCCTATTTAAAGTTATAGTCAGTGTGAGCGATGCCTCTGACAGGCCTTTGTAGCACTCCAGGCTAAGTACCCTATCCTTTGTCACCAATGACGGGTAGCTACTTAGGTGAACCCAATGCTTTCCATCAGCTTCCCCTCATTCTTCAACATATACCATCCTCCATGAGTGGCTTATTGAATTAGCAAGGTTGTCTACTCTGCGTTGAGACCCCTCTGTCAGCCTGTGGAAAATTGCATTCTGTTAGGGTTAGGGAAGGTTGTGAGGGAGTTTTGACGGGTGTGAGGGGAGTAGTGGCGCAGTGGTCTAAGGCACTGCATCGCAGTGCTAGCTGTGCCACTAGAGATCCTGGTTCGAATCCAGGCTCTGTCGTAGCCGGCCGCGACCGGGAGACCCATGGGGCGGCGCACAATTGTCCCAGCGTCGTCCAGGGTAGGGGAGGGAATGGCCGTCAGGGATGTAGCTCAGTTGGTAGAGCATGGTGTTTGCAATGCCAGGGTTGTGGGTTCGATTCCCACGGGGGCCAGTATGAAAAATAAAAAAATAAAAAATAAAATAATGTATGCACTCACTAACTGTAAGTCGCTCTGGATAAGAGCGTCTGCTAAATGACTAAAATGTAAATGTAAAATATAGTGTTACTATGGTGTTGAAGTTGAAAGGAGAGTGGTTTATTGTGTGATTCTCAAGGACGTGGAGCGAAGCGGATGTTTTGCAAAGAATTCCGGGAGGTTGTGTGTGTGTGCACAGCGCACACATGTTTTCAATGTGATAAACAGGATAGAACCTAAAGAGATTAGAAGGAATGTAAATTTACGGAGGAAAAAAATCCCTTTTTCTCACTTACTGCAAGTCTGTCTCTTTGCCTTTAACCCACAAGCTTGTTAGGCGTTACTCTGTGTAAACTGATAAAATAGATAACATCACCCATGCAAATCGGACCCCTCTCAATCCCACGACCACGCTTTTCAAATATGTTTATTTTTTTCCAGTTCTCTTTTTTGTTGATTTATTTAGTACGATTAATTATTCATCATGTGTCTCAGGCATTTTTTTTAACCACAGAAACATTGAATTATAGATATGCGAATGGCCATCATACACATGTTGAGACTTGGGCTCAGTGTGGGGCGTCTTTTGGTCCGTCACTGGCTCAGATGATACTGTCTAAATGTCCCTTTTCATCTCTGTGTGTTCTGACTGCTTCAAAAGTGTATGTGTGTGTGTGTGTGTGTGCGCGCGCTGTGTCTGTGTGTGTGTGTGGAGAGGATGTAGTCTCATTGTTCCACCTAATCCTCGTCAATTGGACCCTTCTGTGTACCCTAGCTCTCTGACTGCTAAACAGCCTCTCCGCCTAGCACCAGGCATGTACTGACACTCCCATTTACTACCACAAACTGGGCCTGCACCTGGGCAGGATGCAACTGAGAACACACAAACACACACACACACTTACAGAACCCATTGTAAAATGAGGCTGTGCCTTTGAAGCAGTGAGAATGTACGCCACACGGAACACGTACACCCACACACGAGGATATGATCAGGAATCGGGCAACAATAAATAGGGCCATTTTGGCTCATATAGTTTCAGCGAGTGTGAAAACACTGGGCCATGCTGTGAGTAAAAGAGGTCTATGGAGGGTCCACTGGAGAGTTTGACCATGGCTTCAAGTGTTCTTACTTTCCCCGATGGAGACAGACGGGACAGTCAAACAAACAGTGAGAGGGAGGGAAGGAGGAGGGAGATGAGATGGTGTCAGGGGACCAGAGCGTGTAAATCTGTGGATGAGGACAGGAGCAGAGAGCGAGCGAGGAAATGGTGGAGGAACGGGAGAAGGAGTGATGTCAAATAAATAGAGAGGGAGCCAGCCAAGGGAGAGGAGATACAAGTGTGTATATTTATGAGCGGGTATTAGAAAACCCAATGGACATGGAAAACACATCTCAAAGAAAAGCGCTGGCCAGCTTTTAATGCATGTTCTCTTGTCAAGGTTTTTTTTTTTGTCAGACGAGACGACACTTAAGGCATGTCGCAGGGCCACACTGAAACACTACTGGGATTGTTGGGGAAGGGTTTTGGCTTGGCCTCGTCTGTCTGCCATTGCCATTTGCCAAGATGCCACCATGCCTATATGTGGTCTTGCATTTTAGTCCATGAAATTACTGTAATAGGACATATGTTATATTACATACGTTAGGATAAAATGTGCACTATCAGTGTGTGTCTCTGTCTCTGTGTGTATGTGTGTATGGCTCATTTGTGTGCACAGGCCCTCCTGTGTGTATAGGGTTTAGGGCGGCCCTGTTGTGATGACTGGTGGGGGGAGAGAGAGGAGAGAGGTGAAAGCCAGGACGTCCTCTGAGCTCTCTCTCCCCTCTCCCTTTAGGCATCGCGGTCCTCTCCTTCTTTCGTCCTCCTCTCTTCTCTCTCTCTCTTCCGTGCTTCATTCCTCCCAGCAGGCAAATTAAATATGATGATCCCGCTGGAAATTAAATAGTAAATCTCATATAGGCCGGCCTGCCTGACTCCATGCCTGCCTGCTTCCCTGCCTGCCTGCCTGCTTCCCTGCCTGCTTCCCTGCCTGCCTCCCTGACTGGGGTAGAAACACACTCTTAAAAGGCATCTTGACCAATGACTTCTCTGTTTGTGGGGAGAAAAAAAAAAAATAGAGGGGAGGTATCACGTGCCTCCATCTTTTAAGTCCCCACTGTGCAAGAGTTCACGCTCTTACAAACCAGGGGGAAGGCCCTTCACAAACCAGGGGGAAGGCCCTTCACAAACCAGGGGGCAGGCCCTTCACAAACCAGGGGGCAGGCCCTTCACAAACCAGGGGGCAGGCCCTTCACAAACCAGGGGGCAGGCCCTTCACAACCAGGGGGCAGGCCCTTCACAAACCAGGGGGAAGGCCCTTCACAAACCAGGGGGAAGGCCCTTCACAAACCAGGGGGCAGGCCCTTCACAAACCAGGGGGAAGGCCCTTCACAAACCAGGGGGCAGGCCCTTCACAAACCAGGGGGCAGGCCCTTCACAAACCAGGGGGAAGGCCCTTCACAAACCAGGGGGAAGGCCCTTCACAAACCAGGGGGAAGGCCCTTCACAAACCGGGGGGAATGCCCTTCACAAACCGGGGGGCAGGCCCTTCACAAACCGGGGGACAGGCCCTTCACAAACCGGGGGGCAGGCCCTTCACAAACCGGGGGGCAGGCCCTTCACAAACCGGGGGGCAGACCCTTCACAAACCGGGGGGCAGACCCTTCACAAACCGGGTGCAGACCCTTCACTGTCCGCCCCATTTCATTTTCCTCCGCGATGGGTTCGTTGAGGTTTCACGTCACATTATTTTCCCTCCTTCCCCCATTGTCCCCATTGAGGCAAAACAGATTCTCCTCTCCATGAATTTCTGTTCCCCAGTTTTTTTTCTTCATCTTTACGGTGCAGGAACAGCTGCCAGCGGAAGGCGACAGCACGGAGAGAGAGGTGTGTGTGTGTGTGTGTGTGTGTGTGTGTGTGTGTAGATACACGGTGATAGAGCAAAGCACACATCCCTCCTCACCGTGCTACACTGACCCCAATCACCACCTATGGGATCAGTCCAGTATGACAGATAGCCTGACACATGAAACATTGCTGCTCACCGCACAACCTTATAGAACCACACACATACAGTAATACACACGCAAACACACACACACATTGAATCAGGCTGCTGGAAGTATTTTCCCTTCATTGAGATATTGTAGATGTATAGATTGCATTCTGCCAGTCTGCAGCCGTTCCCCGGCCCTGTTCACATGAGAAAACATTCTGCCAGTGTGCAGCCGTTCCCCGGCTATGTTCACATGAGAAAACATTCTGCCAGTCTGCAGCCATTCCCCGGCTATGTTCACATGAGATTTGTATTTTATTTTTTGAACACTACACAACCATAGTGACTCAGGCGGCATGTTGTATTTTCTCAACCCTGAGTTTCATTTGCTGATGGCGTAGAAGGAATCCCACAAACGTGCACGGGAACACACACACATCTACCACCGCTTCTTTGTCATTTTCCTGCAAGATAAGCCCAAACCAGGCAGATTTCTGTTAGTGCGAGCCTCCCTCCATTATTGGGTCATAAAGCAATGTGACATCTCTATTTCTGCACCAACTGATCTCCCATCACACTCTGCTGCAAACGCCGTAATCCACCCACTGATAACCCCAGCAGTTGCACCCCTCATTGTGTCCCTCCCATAATGCCTCGCTCTGCAGGCACGATATGCACAAGTCGGCAAGCTGTTTAACATCTTAGCCATTAGCGCTTCCTCCCACTACTTATTACAGTCCGCACTTCGGAGAAAAAACAGCTATTCAATCGAGGCTTGGGGGGGGAACCCTGACACATGGACTCGGAAATGCGTCCATTAACCAGGACTGACTGTCTCTGGGTCCTTACACCTTACGGACAGTCTCCAATCAATCTGCAATGTTTCAATGGCTTCCCAAAATTGCTTTTCTCATATCAAATGTAATCAGTGTTTGGGACTTTAATGGTTAGCGGTCTGCCTCCGTAGGGGAGGTATCTGTTGCAGCAGTGTGGAAATATGGGTGTTCTCACCATATTCTGTAGGTACAGACTGTTACAGGAAACTGAAATTTATAGTACAACATCTCCTGTTATGAGAATCCACCTGTATCTGTCATGTGTTCCATCATAACTCACCTGGATCAGGAAGTGGAGCGGTTTTTTGTTTTACTGTGGCAAAATGAGAAACCAATTTCTACAACCGCAATGGTCCCCACTGTATATACAGTAGACAGGTTTTTTTTAAGCTGTGCGTTTCATTAACGGAACAATAAAATATGGTTTTATTGTTCTTTTATCTGCTGTCTTCTCTCTGCCGCCCCGAACACAATCAGTTTGGGTTCTGAGCGGGACCTCTGTCGTTTTCTGCTTGAAACATCATTTCTATGGTAATTCTCTCCCTCCCTCCCTCCCTCCCTGTCTCTCTCTCTCTCCCTGTCTAATCTTATTGGCCTACTGAACAGGAAATGCAATTTCCTGCTCTTTCTCCCTCGTCTCTCCCTCTTCCTTCCGTTCCCTCCACGTACTTACGCGTGTAACAATGGCTGTTATACCCCACACCCAAACTCATCGTCTCAACATTCGCCCACAGAACGTCACGCCATTATTTGTCTTGACAAAACAAGCCTCTGACGGGTCTAAAAAGAGACAGTAGGGAAAGGGGTGGACAGAAAGAAAATGGAACGGATTGGTTTTCAACAGTGTCTTCATCCATAAGGGCCCTATATACCTACAGGCATATTGTTGTATTGGTCCCACCAGGGTTGTGTTGGACCCACCAGGGTTGTGTTGGACCCACCAGGGTTGTGTTGGTCCCACCAGGGTTGTGTTGGACCCACCAGGGTTGTGTTGGACCCACCAGGGTTGTGTTGGACCCACCAGGGTTGTGTTGGACCCACCAGGGTTGTGTTGGACCAACCAGGGTTGTGTTTTTTTCCCGAGAGGTGAGGATGGCCAGGATCAATTACAGTAGGCCATCACCCCTGAGCATCACCCCAACACACACACACCGTAAACAGCCAGAACGCACCAGGCAACACACAGTGAGAGTAGAGCGGGGTAATTGGTGTGTAGAATGTGTTTTACTTCTCTCCTGTGTGTGCGTGTGTGTGTGTGTGTGTGTGTGTGTGTTTAGCCTCCTTTTCGATCATTAGAAAATAGACTGTTATTTCTACTTACCCTAAAAGCTTTAACCCCCTGGTTTGAATGGTAAGGATCCGAGTCCAGTTGTGTTGTACCATAATGGGGATGTTAACTCAACCTCAGTGTTGTTCAGTTGAAAATCCTTAAGACAATAAAATAATGTTTCCGCACAGTACTTTAAATGGATACTCTCAAGTTTCCTGTATTTGAATGGGACATTTGTCACTTTCTCAGTGATGTTTTTTCTATAATGTAAACCGTGTTCGTCAAAGGCCTTTGTAAAACACTCTCCTCGAAACCCCTTTGAATGATTGAAATCAAATCATATTTTCATGGTGTGCTGAATGTGAAGGTTGATGCAGAGAGTGGGCTTGTTTATAAGTAAGCTTTTCAGACGTTCTGATGTTTCATACTTGGCAAAGGGAATGCGTTGGGAAAGGACTTCAAACGATAAGGCAATAAGGAGCGTGTAATCACGGAATACCTCTCAAATCAATTATACATCAGCAGCTATTCTTATCATCAGTAGGACACTGTCCTATGGCTTTGCTGTCTGGTGAATGTGTTTGTTTGTGTGTGTGTGTGTGAGTGAGTGAGGGGGAGCGATTTTATACGAGCTTGGAAAAGTGTTAAACATTTGTATTCTTGTGTGCACACATGAGACTGTGTGTGTGAGTGAGTAAAAGTGAAGATTCCCAGAGAGGTCACCAGAGCAGGACCAAGGTCTTTGAGGAGCTCTCTGGCTCCCGGCCACAGATGCACCAGATAAGACCTGGTCTCAGAGGCCCTACTGCTCCCCCTACTGCCCCCCTCTCCCTCCCTGCAGGCCCCCTGCTGCCCTCCATCACACAGACCTTTTCTCCACCACATGGCACACCCATTAATCACTGGCCAGCATGAAGATACACCAAAGTGTGTGCGTGTGCGACTCCACACAATAGTTGTGTTCAACAATAGATCCATAACCCTGATGGTTGTTGCCTGTGTGTCTTGGCCACGACATCCATTACATCACCATCAGCCCATTGAGAAAGCTGGGGGTTTTCTGCCCTGGAGGGTTGGTAGGAATGAGTTGGCCCCCTGGAGAGTGTGTGTGTGTGTGTGTGCTGTCACAGTCATCTCTGGAGCTGTATATGCTTGGATCCTAAGACCATCAGCAACCCCCCTACACACACACGCACACACACACACACACACACACACACACACACACCGCTCTGCCAGTCCATGGGTGTGACCTTTACAGGAAACATGGTCTCTTCCTGATGTGAACAGATTTGAAACATGTCCTATCTCACTCTGCGGAGCCGTGTCAGGCCGAGAGGAGAGGGAGAGCGGTTGAGTGGAGCTGAAACTTCTCCAGCCATCTATTCCTCCATCCCTCCATCAGTCTCTACATGTGGATGGTCAGGCCGTCATCACATCACACTTCATTCAGAAAGACAGAGAACGGCTGCTAGCTGGTGTGTGCTTTGCCTTTGACTCGGACAAGCCATTTATTTCACAATAGCACAATCTTAGCTGATGTTTTATATTTAGTAGACAGGTAATGTATGATACACCATTGTAGTTAGAGTTGTCTATTTTAATGAAGGTATTTCTCTTTGACATGTTAATGTAACATGTAATGACATGAATAATGAGTGGAGTTACATTACAGTGACATGCTTTAGTGGGACGATGTAGCCGGATGTGAGAAGAGGATGTGTTCCACAACAACATGTTCATCTCGGGTGTATTCATTCTGCCGATGCTGTTGCTAAACTTTTAAGCCGGGGGGGGACGACGACACCTACCTGAATTTGTCCAATAGAAACTCTTGTTTTGCTCTGTTTGCTTCTTAAACAGTTTCTGTAATGAATACACCCCTGGTTAATTGTAAACTTCCCCTCCCTCTTCTCCGAGTCTGCAGCTTTTAAGGAGCAGCAGGTGTTGCGGCCACGCTCCGACGCCCACCACCAACGTAGCGGGGACACGGACATCACTAAGGATGATGGACATAGGCTATGCAGTACGCACACTCTAGAAGCTCTTAACCGTGGTGTGGACATACAGAGGGGGCTTCTGGGTCCTTCTGCCTCCATGAATGGATGACGATTGGAGGAGAGGATGGGAGGAGAGGAGGGAGTACACAGGAAAGCGTTCAGGGAGCGTAATTTAGTTTTGATTGTTGGTTGTCAGAAAGCCATCATTATTGGCTGCTTCCACCGACTCTGAAGCAGGCTTTGATAAGGATGAAAGCCGGGTGCCATTACCCAGATGGCTGTGTTGATTTTGTTGAATCCTTCTCTCTACACTTCCGTCTAGAGCTCTCGCTCTTTTTCAATGGTTTTCAAAAAACAATAAACTAGTGTGTGTAGTTGCTGTGTGTGTGTGTGTGTGTGTGTGCGTGTGTCGCCTCGCCGAGCTACTGTGAAGTGAAAAGCGAGGTAATAGAGATGAGTGACAGCGGGATCAGGACGGAGGTACTCCAAGGGGCTCCCGACACCAGCATGAAACGGACTGTCAAGCAGAACAACACTTATCCTGTTTTATTGTTTTTGTCTCTGATTTGAATCTGAACCCATTTTTCTGCTGAAAAGCACTCCGTACACACACAGTGATAGCAGCTGTTCCTCTGTATCTCTGGTATCCTTGGGAAGAATCAGTGACATCTCGCCATTTCCCCCTCCGCTCGCCTGTGCTGGAGTTTAGCCGCAGCAATACTCGAACGCACCCGTGAGAATGTGCCGCGTGTCTCTGTGCGGGGGTCTGAAAGCGTGTCACACATCTCGCCGGGTGTGAAAAAGAGGACAGCTGTCAATCAAAGCCAGTCTGTATTCTCCCCTTGTGTTGTAACAGAATTGCCATGAATACCTCCTGAGGGGAGAAAAACAGAAGTTTACTCACCAGTGGTAATACAGTACAAGACAGACTTAAAGCTATTCAAATGGATTCACATCAATCTATCGATGGAGGTAGTTGTTGACGTGTTTGGCGGTTCTCGTATACCAAAATCCCAAAGAATTGAGGATGTCATTTGAATCAAGGCTTGGAGTCTGCATGCATGGTGAACGGGCTGCCTCGCTACTGCTCACCGGAATAGGCTGCCCCTCACACACACACACACACACACACACACACACACACACACACACTAACCCCCCCCCCCCCCCCACCCCTGCCACAGACAATCTGTTCCCTCTCATCCGGGACTAATACCTTTATTCTCCTTCCCAGAGCACTTAGTGCAGGTAAGAGGCCTGCTGCTCCATATCACTGCCCACAGCATAGGGGAGCTCAGGTAGAAATATTCACTACGCTACGCCATGCTCGCTACGCCATGCTAGCTTCACTATGCTACAACTACGCTACAGTATACAGGCTTTATTGTTGTTTTTCAATGGAATAATTGTGACACACCTCGTGGCACTTTGGCAGTGGCCATGTTTTAGCCCCATCATGGTTCATTCTTATCTACTCGTACGACAGGGGTTAGTCCGTGACCTATTAGCATAGGGCAATGACATGCTAATAATTGGGAAGAGCTATATTTAAATGTCAAGTGTCAAGCCTGGGCAGGAGAAGGGGAAAGAAAAAAAGCTGTTAATAGTTGACATCTAAATGTCAAATATGTTTTTTTTATATATATATACTGGTAGGAGTGGGGAGTAAGGCCAAAGACCCCAGCCCTACCGACCCCGAAATGCGATTAATATCAATTCTCTGGCAGCGTCATTGCTCAACCTCTGAAACACCCAAGCTGATGCAAAATGTGAATCTCTGAGGCTAATTCCCCTAGCAACTGGCGTGACGGTATCGGCCGGCGGCAAGCCCTGCCTCACACGCACACACAAGACGGATTGTGTCCTGTCACAATCCGTCTTGAGCCCCATCGCCAAGCCATTACGTGGTGTCCTCCCCTCCCAGTTTGACAGGCAAGGGGAATGCAAATGACCGTCCTCCCCTCCTCCTTTCCTCCCCTCTTCTTCCAATCTTCCATCTCTGGGATTTATGACAGGCTTGCCATTCAGAGATGTCCCTTTCTGGAGACTTAAGGCCAGGGTAATAGGCTTCATCCATCTTCTCCTCCAAAGAGCAACCTTGGCCCCTGACGCGCCATTTTGTATGGTTCTATGGCTGAGGTGTGTCAGAGGGCTTGTCGAGCTCTGGCTCTCCAAGCTATTTGGCTATTATATCTGGTGATTGGAGAGGACGGTTAAGGGCCTTCGTGTTAAAGACCTCCGCCTGCATCCTGTGGGAAAGCGATAGACTTGTCTTTAAACCACCCATCCTATTCAGACACAGAGGCACGTGCATGTGCGCGCGCACACACACACACACACACACACACACACTTGCAGCCATTCTCAAACATACAGTTAGTGTATATTTAAGAGAACCCCCCCCACAACTTTCCCAGTTAATATCCACTGAGAGCGGCTTGCGCTTCAATGTCTTCCCACCACCACCCCTCTCTCTCTCTCCCTCCCTCATCTCTCTCTCTCGCTCTCCCTCATCTCTCTCTCTCTCCCTCATCTCTCTCTCTCTCCCTCATCTCTCTCTCTCTCTCTCTCTCTCTCTCTCTCCTCTCCCTCTCTCTCTCTCTCTCTCTCTCTCTCTCTCTCTCTCTCTCTCTCTCTCTCTCTCTCTCTCTCTCTCTCTCTCTCTCTCTCTCTCTCATCTCCTCCTCTTCTTTTGTCTCTGGCATAGCTGGTGTCAAAACGCGTGTCACTTCCCGAAGACGCCGGCTAATTTGAGTTCTCTGCCCGGCAAGCCATTAATTCCCAGCGGTCCAGCAACTGTTTACCCACCTAGCGCATCCTCAGTAGTTCTCCTCACAAATAGAGGAGAGGGCGGGGGGAGGGAGAGAGTAGCGGAAGGGGGGAGAGTGGGAGGGCCTAGGCCTGTGAGCGATAAGTGTAGATGTCGTTTGACAAGGAGGCAGCGTGAGATTTTTCTTGACTCGTATCTTTGAGTTTTGTTTGCTTTGAACGGGGCGTGTCTTTGAAGGAGCAGGTCTTTGAAAGAGCAGTTGTTTTGTGGAAATTGCGACAGCATTTTTCATCCTTTTTTTCTTGAGCGAGCACAGGTTTGTTCTTCCTCTGTATCTGGAAGATTTACAGTGGCCCTGCGATGTGTTCCTCACTTGTAATCTTTTAATGTCCAGCCTTGATTACACTGAACCGGACCATTCTCACTGCGATAAAAGGCGACTTGAAGAAAAGAGCCTGTAGTTCAATACACACAGAGACAGCGAGAGAGAGTTATCGGCAGTGGTCAGACGGTGTGTGTGTGTGTGCATGCTTTCATGTATTGGTCCGTGTTCGTGTGTGTCTTCATGCATATGTTGAATGCAGGTGTGTGTGTCGGCAGGTTTGCTTGCAGGTGTGTGTGTCGGCAGGTTTGCTTGCAGGTGTGTGTGATCTTGATCTTTGATTGGTGGCCATGGAGAGGTTTGACCCTCCTTATCTCTCTCTGCCTGCAGTCTGGCCACTGGGCTATTTGTTTACCCACCATCAGCAGCATAGCAGCATGCACACTACTTTCTACTGTCCCTTTGCTTCATAAAGCAACACACACATACATTACTTCCAGCAACAGATTACCTGCTTAAATAAAACATGATTTGTCTGGTGGGAGTTTTTTTTTTCTGCAGTGTGGTTAATCGATAAAGTTGTTAAGTCTTTTGACTGTCTCACCATTAATTACAAGGCAGTGGGAGGAATGAGGGAAGGGGGGTGGTAGTGGGAAAATCAATGTGTTAAAAATGAATTCCAGGTATCCAGACAGACTGTTGGGTGGGTGCATTGTGCGAAAGGAAGGCGTTTGTGAAGTTAAGGGCAAACGGCTTCTCGTGGGAAGAGGGACACTCGGAAGAAGAGATGATATCGGTGGATGGGGGAGGAGGTGGAGGGAGGGAAAGAGGGATCGTAAACAGAAGTCAGCCTCCTGTAGCTCAGTTGGTAGAGCATGGCGCTTGCAACGCCAGGGTTGTGGATTCGATTCCCACGGGGGGCCAGTATGGAGAAAAAAAGTATGGAAAAGGTATGCACTCACTAACTGTAAGTCGCTCTGGATAAGAGCGTCTGCTAAATGACTAAAGTGTAAAATGTCAGCTGATTGGGCGCTCTGTCTGGCTGAGAGGACACACGTTTGTGCGGTGTTTGTGTAGCGTGTGTGTACATCATCACGACATCCTGGAGATGTCTCCTCTAGAGGAGAAACGCACATCAAGACTTAATATTAATACCAATAAAATAACATTTGAATTCAAACATCTTTGTCCTTGTGTTTTTCATAGCAAGGTGTGACATGCTTAGTATTGATACGTCATTTTCTGATGATAGCCTATCAATGTTGAGTTGGGCCCTGCAAATGCCATGTTGAGTATGAGCCTCCAAATGTCTCCTTTGTGTGGTTGAGATGTTGAGCTCACTCTGAATGGCCAATTATAGGCCCTCTCTCAGCTGGGTTTTAATAGAAATACTCTGTCTCTCTCTCTCTCTGTGTTCACTGTCTTTCTTAGCTCTATCATTCTCTCTCTTTCTCTTCCTCCACCATGCTGGGGTCAGGGGTCATCCTAAAGGGCAACATGAGTTATTGTTTTCCAGCCGTCCATTCGATGCTCTGGGAATTGTGAAGGGGCTGAATGATTGCTGTGGTCAGTACACAAGTGTAGTGTGTGTACGACACAGCTCCCGTTGACTGGTAATGCATTCCCAGGTATCTGGTCTGCTGGAGTTATTGATTTATGTAAAGGATGAGGCCCTGTGCTCTGTTTACTGTCACAACTCCCTCACCTATCTCTCTTTCTTTGCCATCTCTATCTTTCTCTCTCCCTCTGTATTTTTAGCTCTCGACTATCTCTCTCTCACTCCATTTTGGCAATCCGTCTCTTTCTTAGCTATTCCTCAATCTCTCTGAGATTCTCTCTTTCTCTTGTTCTTTCTATCGACTCTGTTGGCTCTCTCTTGGCTCTCTTTTCTTTCCCTCGCTCTTTCTTCTCATCTTCTCTCTCTCTCCCTCCTTTCTCCTCCCTCCCCGCTCGGTCTCTCTCTCCCTCTTCCTCCTTGCGCTCACAGAAAAATGGGGCTCCCAGATCAGATGGCAGTGTTTGCTTTTGAAAATGCCATAGTCCTCCTGATCTCCTGTGAATATATCCTCCCTCCCTCCCTCCACCCCTCAGTCATGCAACTCATTTACAGCCCTCTCTCCTTTTATTCCCCTCTGCCACTCGTTCACTTCCTGTCTCATCTCGTTGTTTGTCTCCTCTTCTGTTCTCTGATTGGTCCTTCTGTTGTTCCTCTGTCACCACCGCTGTTAGTCTTTTATCTTATTCATTATTATGCGAAATGAAACAAGACGTCCTTTTGAAAATAAACGTACCCATTTATAATTTTTCTGCTCTCCCGCTTTTCAATGGTATTATACCGAAGAGCTCCAAGTATGCTTTCAAGTATTCAACGTTGTGCTTTCTATGCGCAGTCAACACACAAAGAAGACAGTAAGCACTCATCTGCAGTGAGGCCCATTTCCATTGTACTCTTCCCTCCTCCTCCTTCCCTGACGGTTGAATGTCTCGCGGCATCGGCGGACATTTAGGCTGCAGCTCATGAAGAGTGAAGAAGGCTAAATGTGCAGTGGAAGACGCCTCAGGCCTACTATCCAGCTGAGCTCCTTGTCAGTCAAGACAGTAGTTACAGTCTAGAACGATGACAATGTGACATACAATGGACTCTGGATTGCACAGTCGCACCAGTACAGTGGGAAAATGCACAGCAGATGTGGAAACTGTGTTTTTGTGAGGGACCTATCCTCCATCCTGGATTCTTTTTTTTTTACAAAGTGGGTTCAGGCAGCTAAGTACTGTATTGGAGAGGAAACCATGGAATCGCAGATGATGGTGCTGTCATGGAATATAGTCGTGATGTCAACCACCAACTGTACAATGTACAGTTAAAAAAATACATTAAAACTACTATGCTAATAGGATGAAATGGAGATATGTGGAATAATTCCACTAGCAACTATTTTGCTTATATTGGAGGGCTGATCTGATTGGCCGACAGTGTCCATCTCTGTCCCTGCATTATCAGGGAGGCTGCCTGTACTCAAACACACCTAAACACATTCTAGCCTGCTCTTCCGAGACCACTCACAGGCCCTTTGGATATGCATCAAACAAGAAGATACATTGTTGGCATTTTCAAGTCGCACATTTTAAGTCGCAACTGTCCCCCATTTTTTTAAACATGGGGCGTTTGTTGCGTGATAGACCCAGCCGTGAGCCAAATAAGCTTTTAGTTCTACCAACAGAAGCACTCTAACTCTCTTAATCGCATCAACATTTGAGGAAAGAGGAGAGGATGTCTTTTTGTGTGGCAATTTCAACCCCATTCTTTTTTTTACCCACAATACTGCTCTCAATACAAAAACATACATCTTTGATTTTGTACAACAAAGGTTCGAGCCTTGCAGCTTACTCTCGAATATTAAAAGATATATCAATAAAGCACTTGGACTTGTGCTTTAATCTTAAACTATTAGTATTGCGTTGTAATCAGCGGCGATTTTAGCATGCAAATCTTGGTGGGGCAAAAAAACTATATATATGGGATGCATGCCAGCAAAGCCACTACACAACACAACACAATACTAAACAATATATTAATTGCACTATAGCGGTGACAAACTGTGCCCACAAACTGTTAGGGCCTACATAAAGCTGTCCCAGCAGCAGAGTCCCAACAGCAGTCCCAACACCTTACCACTGCTACACCTGGCTATCAGCGGAGCCTTGTCTGGCAGAGAAACAGTTCATTCAGCCTCATTTAATGCCTTGAAAAAAAAACATAGCTGATATGGCTGACTTGCTTAAACAAATATGGTTTCTACTGACAATTGAGATGTACAAACTATGGCATAAGGGGACGATAAGATGCAATCCGCAATTTAAATTAAGACATTAATGAGCGAGCTAGGACGGACATAGTCAATAACTATTTGTTCAGCACTTTTGAAATGTACAGCAACATAATTCAGAACATGGGCTGTTCTTACAGTGTTCTCCATGTACACCAAGTCAGAACTGTAGGATAAATAAAGGGGGCATATAAGCAGACAATGAAAGCTCTTACAATATTTGATGATTACAATTCTCTAAAACAGGTTACAGGCTACATGTGCACCACCAAGTCAGAACAGTAGGTGAAATTAAGAGGGGAAAATAGACCAAACTATTAGGGTGAGGTACATGGGCTACTAACAGCTTACTACACAACATACACCTAGTATTACTTTATTAGCTACAGTATACATATCTCCCTGGCATATTACATATAATTTATGCAGCAGCATACAATACATTTTTGGACTCACCTTGTTGTGCTGTGCTCACTTGAACAGGAAGGTGGAGTGGCAGTCCTTCATGAGCAAACTTTGTCATCAAAGTCTGGCATTCTCTGGATTTATGGTGCTTTCAAGACAATTGGGAACTTGGAAAAAAAGGTCGAATCATGATGACGTCAATGATCTTCAGGTCGTAGCTCTAGAAAGAGGATTTACAATTCCGAGTTGGATGACCGTTCAAAACTTATTTTCCCAGTCGGAGCACATTTTTTCCCCGAGTTTCCAGTTGTCTTGAACTCACTGAAGTCTGATATTTGGCAGTTCCGAGTTAACAGTGGTTTTAAGCGCCGCACAAATCATGCTTTATTGACAGCATGGCCAATGTTGAATGTTTATAATTTTAAACTTGGAAAAGAGACCTTACAATACAGCACTCTGATCCTGTGTTTAAGAAATTGATTAGAGGTTCTCTGCTAGCTTATGTCTGTCTTCTTGGAAAATATTCCCCTGGTCCTCCTTATACCCCCCTTTTTGTTTAGTAGAAACGGCACATGATTGAAGAACTCTCCGGCAAAAAGAAAGGCGGAGGTATGTTTCATGATGAACTACTCATGGTGTGATTGTGGTAATTTACAGGAAGTCTTTTTGTTCACGCTACCTGGAATACCTCACAATCAAATGCCGACCACATTACCTCCTGAGAGAATTATCTTAGGTCGTCATCACAGCCATGTATATTCCCCCTCAAGCCGATACCACGATGGCTCTCAAGGAACTACACTGGACTTTTTGCTAACTGAAAACCGCATATCCTGAGGCCACATTTATTGTAGCTGGGGACTTTAATAAAGCAAATCTGAGGAAAACGCTACCAAAGTTTTATCAACACATCGCCTGCACTACTCGAGTCTCAAGAACTCTCGACCATTGCTATTCTCCCTTCTGGGATGGCTACAAGGCTCTCCCCCGCCCTCCCTTCGGCAAATCAGATCCCACCTCCATTCTGCTCCTCCCTTCCTATAGGCAGAAACTCAAACAGGAAGTACCCGTGGTAAGGACAATTCAATTTTGGTCTGACCAATCGGAATCTATGCTTAAAGATGGTTTTAATCACGCGGACTGGGATATGTCCTGGGTTGCCTCTGAGAATAACATTGACGTATACACGGACTCGGTGACTGAGGTCATCAGGAAGTGCATAGCGGATGTTGTTCCCACTGTGATGATGAAAACCTATCCAAACCAAAAACCGTGGATAGATGGCAGCATTCGCACAAAACTGAAAGCGCGAACCACCGCATTTAACCACGGTGACTGGGAACATGGACGAGTACAAACAGTCCAGTTATGCCCTCCGTAAGGCAATCAAACAGGCAAAACGTCAGAACAGAGACAAAGTGGAGTCACAATTCAGTGGCTCAGACCCGAGATGTATGTGGCAGGGACTCCAGACAATCACGGATTATAAAGGGAAAACCAGCTATGTCGCAGACACCAATGTCTTGCACCCACACAAGCTAAATACCTTCTTCGCCCTCTTCGAGGAAAACAGTGCCACCGCCGCTCACGAGGATGGTGAGCTCTCGTTCTCCTTGGACAATGTGAGTAAGACATTTAAGCGGCATCCCTAGCCTCGTCCTCAGGGCATGTGCAGACTAGCTGGCTGGAGTGTTTACAGACATATTCAATATCTTCCTATCCTAGTCTGTTGTCCCCACTTGCTTCAAGATATCCACCATTGTTCCTGTACCCAAAAAGCGAAGGTAACTGAACTAAATGACTATATCCCCGTAGCACCACTTCTGTCATCATGAAGTGCTTTGAGAGGCTAGTTAAGGATCATATCACCTCCACCAGTACCCTGCCCTGAACTTTAGTCACTAGCCAGCTACCACCCGGTACTCAACCCTGCACTTTAGAGACTGCTGCTCTATGTACATAGTCATGGAACACTGGTCACTTTAATAATATTTACATACTGTTTTACCCACTTATATATGAATATACTGTACTGTATTCTAGTCAAGGCCTATCCTATTTAACTATTGCTGTACATATACTATTCTATCCTACATATTCTACAGATATACTACATATTCTATCCATATACTGTCCATAATGTCTATACATCCCATCATATACATATATATTTATATTCCGGACTAATATTTATATATTTCTTAATTCCATTATTTTACTTTGTATAGTTGCATGTATTGTTAGATATTACTGCACTGTTGGAGCTAGGAACATAAGCATTTCACTACACCCGCAATAACATCTGCTAAATATGTGTATGCCACCAATAAGATTTGATTTTGATACTGTAAAGGTGAGTGTGAAAATAGAGTAAGTCTATGCATTTAGATATCCTTTAATCCATCTCTTTTGTCTGATTTATCTCTGTGATGCTTGTAGTTGGCTGCGCTGTTGGTTTCAGCTGGAGTTAGAAGTTGATGACTTCAGAGACCTTTCTGGAAGTGCTGAATGTTCCGATTTTAGTGATTTAATGCCATACATCTAAGGGGTGCGAGTGACTGGCTTGTTGAATCTGATTTCTGCCTGTAAAACGCCTTCGCGAGAGCTTTATTACGAGACTACTGATTAGAAGGTGCTCTGAGCCCCTTTGTTATAATCTCGGCTCAGAATTGAAATATAGATTAACGAAATGGACTCTATACTTAAATACTTGGATATTCCTATAAACCCAGGATGAAATAGTCCTATCCATGAGCTGCGTATTTTCTCAAGATGTCCTCTCAATGTTAGCAGAAAGAGAAGTGGGAACAAAGTGGAAAATGTTAAACCACATCTCCTTTTCTGTCAGTGTTGCTCTGCCATTAAACCTCCCCAGGTTTTTATCGCTGTTTGACCTAATCTATGTCACAGAGTCTGTGAAAATGGAGAGGATTAGAAAAGTGCTGTCGAATGGGTTTGGGTTTGACAGCACTTTTTTCCATCCAGCTTCAGTTGGAGCTTGGTCTCCTCATCAGTTTACCCAGGCTTACCAAATTGCCTATCTTGTTGCTCCTCTGGTGGGAGAGCAGCATGGCCCATGTAATTCTAACTAAAGTGTTAGAGCGCTAAATTCCACAGAGATGGACTGCCAATTGATCCCAGGATGGATATTGATCCTATTACAGTGATGTGTGTAGCTGCCCCGGCCTCACGTGGGAGAGAATAGAGCAGGAGCCGAGGCTGTCTTATTAGACCTGATGGGAAGAGAGCCTGGGGTGGCTGTCTGGACAGAAGGGGTACCCCAAGGAACAGTGTTTGGGACCATTACTGTTCCCTGTCAGAGTGGGGGTACCCCAAGGATCAGTGTTGGGACCATTACCATTCCCTGTCAGAGTGGGGGTACCCCAAGGATCAGTGTTGGGACCATTACCATTCCCTGTCAGAGTGGGGGTACCCCAAGGATCAGTGTTGGGACCATTACCATTCCCTGTCAGAGTGGGGGTACCCCAAGGATCAGTGTTGGGACCATTACCATTCCCTGTCAGAGTGGGGGTACCCCAAGGATCAGTGTTGGGACCATTACCATTCCCTGTCAGAGTGGGGGTACCCCAAGGATCAGTGTTGGGACCATTACCATTCCCTGTCAGAGTGGGGGTACCACAAGGATCAGTTTTGGGCCCATTACTGTTCCCAGTCAGACTTGGGAGGCGAAGGGGTTTACATAAAGCCACAGCAGGGTAACAGATGGGTAGGTAGGGGGATTTGGATGTTGCAACTGTTTGAAGGACTCAGCATTTAGTTTTTGATGCTTGCCAACATTCTTTGCCTTTAGATAACAAAAAGCTATATTGAAGGGGAAGGGGAAAAAATCATATTTTTTTAGTCTTTGAACATAATTAAATGATATATGCTGTTATACATTAGTGTTGATGTTATCTTTATGATTTACTAAAATTCTCTCCCCCCCCCTCCAATGCCCCCCTCTCTTGTCCCCCTCTCTACAGACCCCATGCACGGCCCCCAAAGACTGGAGGTGGTGGACATCAAGTCCAAGCAGATCACAGTGCGCTGGGAGCCCTTCGGCTACAACGTGACACGTTGCCACAGCTACAACTTAACTGTCCAGTACCGCTACCAGTCCGGCGGCAAGGAGGAGACCCGGGAGGAGGTGTGCTACGACACCCTGAGCCTGGCGCCGCAGCACACAATAAGGAACCTGTCACCCTACACCAACGTCAGCGTCAAGCTGGTGCTGGGGAACCCCGAAGGCGTCAAGGAGAGCACGGATGTTGACGTGCTGACCGATGAGGATGGTAATTGGGGGAGGGGAGGTTCTGTTCTAGAAGAGCATACTAATTGGATGAAGCAAAGGATTTGTAATCTAGATGGTATGCTAATGTGGACATTAGAACATAGCTGTAGTCAGTAGGCTTGGACATTATACCATATACACCGTATACCGGGGTATTTGGAAATAGCCGCAGGATGGTTTTTCAATACCGTCAATACAGTTAACTATTTCTTTGAAGTTTTTCAATAAATTGTAATATTTGTAGCTACTTTGTAAGTAAATACCTGCAGTCAACTTGTGGAATACGTTAGATGAATCAGATCGCGTTCTTCATTCCACCTGTCACATTACATTTACATTATGAAGCTTACCTTAGTTCCCCAGAATGATTGAGCCAGTCACATGCTTGTTTGTAAATAGCACAACGGGAGAAAGCCAGGTGTGTATTGACAGGGGTCGCATTTTATATTGAATGTCAAGTTATTTTTTTTCCTTAATAGAGTGATCAGGGAAGTACAACTGTATATTTTTTGGGGTAGAAAATACATTAGTCTAACACATTCGGCAGAAAATGGCTTCAATTTCATCAGATGACAACAGAAGTACAACGCGATTTGGCTGGCAGCCACACAAGTAAATGAGCTTACAATGAAAAAGCAAGGTATTTTTAGCAAAAGAGATGCATGGCCATCATTTTTCAAATGTTTTCATAGAAATAATGTAGCCAGCTACATTTCCTAATGTTTTGCTGAAAGTTCAAACCAAGCCATGAGGTCGAAGCAATTGTTCGTAGAGCTCCAAGACAGGATTGTGTTGAGGCACAGATCTGGGGAAGGGTACCAAAACATTTCTTCAGCATTGAAGGTCCCCAAGAACACAGTGGCCTCCATCTTTCTTAAATGGAAGAAGTTGGGAACCACCAAGACTCTTCCTAGAGCTGGCCGCCCGGCCAAACTGAGCAATCGGGGGAGAAGGGCCTTGGTCAGGGAGGTGACCAAGAACCCGATGGTCACTCTGACAGAGCTCCAGAGTTCCTCTGTAGAGATGGGAGAACCTTCCAGAAGGACAACCATCTCTGCAGCACTACACCAATCAGGCCTTTATTGTAGAGTGGCCAGACAGAAGCCACTCCTCAGTAAAAGGCACATGACAGCCCGCTTGGAGTTTGCCATAAGGCACCTAAAGGACTCTCAGACCATGAGAAACAAGATTCTCTTTGGTCTGATGAAACCAAGATTGAACTCTTTGGCCTGAATGCCAAGCGTCACGTCTGGAGGAAACCTGGCACCATCCCTACGGTGAAGCATGGTGGTGGCAGGATCATGCTGTGGGGATGTTTTTCAGTGGCAGGGACTGGGAGACTAATCAGGATAGAGGGAAAGATGAACGGAGCAAAGTACAGAGATCCTTGACGAAAACCTGCTCCAGGGGGCTCAGGACCTCAGACTGGGGCAAAGGTGCACCTTCCAACAGGACAACGACCCTAAGCACACAGCCAAGACAATGCAGGAGTGGCTTCTGCTTCGGGACAAGTCTCTGAATGTCCTTGAGTGGCCCAGCCAGATCCCGGACTTAAACCCGATCAAACATCTCTGGAGAGACCTGAAAATAGCTGTGCAGCGACGCTCCCCATCCAACCTGACAGAGCTTGAGAGGATCTGCAAAGAAGAATGGTAGAAACTCCCCAAATACAGGTGTGCCAAGCTTGTAGCGTCATACCCAAGAAGACACGAGGCTGTAATCGAGGCTGTAAAAAGTACTGAGTAAAGAGTCTGAAAACTATATATTTTTTTTTAATTAGCAAAAATGTCTAAACCTGTTTTTGCTTTGTCATTATGGGGTATTGTGTGTAGATTGACGAGGGGGGGGGGGGGGGAAACTATTTAATCCATTTTAGAATAAGGTTGTAACGTAACAAAATGTGGAAAAAGTCAAGGGGTCTGAATACTTTCCGAAGGCACTGTAAGAAGCATTTTAGATCTGCGTTTACAAAACGCAGCAGGAAATGAGAAATTCTGCGCTCACGCGACCCCTAAGTTTAACAAGCTAGTTATCTAAGTAAGTTACTGAATTAATAAGGTGATGGAGCATCATATTGTGTAAGCTTTCTGCCGTGTTTGCGAAGCCAAAGCCCTTTGGATGAGTTATCTGTATGGCTGCCACGGCTATCTTTTGATATCCTTGCGTTTTTTGAGCCTCTCCGTTCTCGCCCCATCATTGCCTTAGCGACTCCTGTCTCCACACAGATAAAGCGTGTGTACATGCTGCTTCAGAGCCAATACTGTTCTTCCTTCAGACAAGCATGCAAGAACTGATGTTGGCACAAGATGGAGGGAAAGTTGGAGCAAAACTAATGAAATTACAGTTAACTAAAATTTACACTGAATCCAGTATAAGCTCATGTGTAGCATTTATTATACAAGAGACAAAATTCACAAATTCTACAGCACAAACGCAGTCATATCTTAAGTGTAAAATTAATAATGACTCAATAATCCATGCTTTCTGGGAATGTTATAAAGTCTGGAAGTTGTGGGCGGAGCTAGAAATTTGGCTGTCAGAGGTATTACAATGTAAACTAACTTTTAATCGGTCTGTCTGCATATTTCAAGATATGGCATATGGGAGTTTAGTGAGATACCCAATGGGTTAGACGATTCTCTTCTCATCATCTTGAAAAAACGTATTCTAAAAACGTCTAAATCAATCAATCCACCGTCATTAACCCAATGGAATAATCAAATTATTTCTTATTTAAATATTGAAAGTGTGGGCTGTGGAGAGAAACAAAATGGTGCAGTTTCAGGCCGTGTGGTGGAAAGTGATGCAGGCGCTGGAGATAGTGTGGGTCTAGGCAGGAGTGATGTTGTTGTTTGTATGTGTATGTTTTGTATTGTTTATAAAATAAAACAATTAAATAGGATTGACCCCAAACTCTGCCCAGCCAACACTTCCAACATTCAGCTTTTCAACTCTACAAGGCCATCATTGGGGCCTAAGAGAGAACATGAAAGCATGAGGGCATGTGTTTCAAAAAGGGCAAGGTACTTTAGTTATTTGAAAGCACTTACATCGCCCTCTTTTGAGACATACGCCGACTTCAACTTCTGTGATGTTTCCTTTGAATTGGTTTCTTCATAGGCCATTTGTAAATTACAATCTCACTCCGCTATTCAAAGTGATATCAAACGTTCAAAGGATCTTGAATGGATTTGTCTTCATGATAACAAGTAAAATGTTTCCACATGGTAGAGTATGTGATTTATGTTGAACTGCTTGTTATTTATCTATTTGGTGGAACTAGAAACCTTTAACCCTGTTATGGGTAAGGAAATGGAATGGTGTGCTTTCCTTTTATTAAACGGTTTTGCCAGCGAGTCGTACATGCTGTAGCTGTCCTTGACCCTCGTTTGTTTTGCTTCCGATGCAATATACAGTGTGAGGACCCAGCGCTCTATCAGTTTTACTGTAGGGGACCTCCAGCCACGCTGTAAAGCCTCTGTATCAGTTTACTGTAGGGGACCTCCAGCCACGCTGTAAAGCCTCTGTATCAGTTTACTGTAGGGGACCTCCAGCCACGCTGTAAAGCCTCTGTATCAGTTTACTGTAGGGGACCTCCAGCCACGCTGTAAAGCCTCTGTATCAGTTTACTGTAGTGTTTCTTCCAGCCACGCTATAAACCATGATGTGCTCTCATAACTTTTAGGAGGTTCCATCAATTGCGTCTCATTGAAGTAGTTGAAAGAGACAACGGCAGAACATCCAGCTTGAGTAAATGTACTGTTGTGATGTTTCAGGACCTTACTGGGGTCAGGGAGAATGAATAGAACTAGAACTGCACGATCATGACCCCCCCCCCCCCTCCCCCATGAGCCCTCAGGTCATTCTTTTCACCAATCCGTTCAAGAGTGGTCTGGAGCAAGACCGCCGCCAACCAACCGGCGAATGTATGGGAATCACAACGGCGATTTACAATGGTGTTATGATGAAGTGGCTTAATAAAAAAAAGTATATATTTAATTTGCTCTGAATTTATTTCCCCCTCTTCCCTCTCCTCCTTAGTGCCTGGCGCCGTGCCACTCGAGTCCATCCAGGGGAGCACCTACGAGGAGAAGATCGCCCTGCAATGGCGTGAGCCTGTTCAGACCTACGGTATCATTAATCAGTATGAGGTAAGATCATCGCGAGCCCGTCCAGACCTACGGTATCATTAATCAGTATGAGGTAAGATCATCGCGAGCCCGTCCAGACCTACGGTATCATTAATCAGTATGAGGTAAGATCATCGCGAGCCCGTCCAGACCTACGGTATCATTAATCAGTATGAGGTAAGATCATCGCGAGCCCGTCCAGACCTACGGTATCATTAATCAGTATAAGGTAAGATCATCTGGGGAAACTGCAGAGTCCAGCCTCCCACCTGGGCCCAGCTTTCTCTGTCTTTGTTTCTCTCCCTCTTCCTCTCTCTCCCTCTTCCTCTTCCTCTCTCTCCCTCTTCCTCTCTCTCCCTCTTCCTCTTCCTCTCTCTTCCTCTCTCTCCCTCTTCCTCTCTCTCCCTCTTCCTCTCTTCCCTCCAACACACATCCATCTTGTCTGGCAGGAGCCAGCGGCTTCCATCTTTCATTCACTCTGTGGCCTTAATTATCTAATAAATCCAACCTAATAACCTTAAGGCCTGCACGCACCGAGGCTTGTTAACACAATCTATTACCCACTGAACCCCCTCTAACAGCATGCCCAACACCAGCCCAGCCCTGCCCACTCCCACCCCCACCCCACCCCAGCCCAGCCAACACCAGCCCAGCCCTGCCCACTCCCAGCCCAGCCAACACCAGCCCAGCCCTGCCCACTCCCACCCCAGCCCAGCCAACACCAGCCCAGCCCTGCCCACTCCCACCCCACCCCAGCCTAGCCAACACCAGCCCAGCCCAGCCCTGCCCACTCCCACCCCACTCCAGCCCAGCCAACACCAGGCCTGCCCAACCCCTGCCCACTCCCACCCCACTCCAGCCCAGCCAACACCAGGCCTGCCCAACCCCTGCCCACCCCCACCCTACTCCAGCCTAGCCAACACCAGGCCTGCCAAACCCCTGCCCACTCCCACCCCACTCCAGCCCAGCCAACACCAGGCCTGCCCACCCCCACCCCACTCCAGCCCAGCCAACACCAGGCCTGCCCAACCCCTGCCCACCCCCACCCCACTCCAGCCCAGCCAACATCAGGCCTGCCCAACCCCTGCCCACCCCCACCCCACTCCAGCCCAGCCAACACCAGGCCTGCCCAACCCCTGCCCACCCCCACCCCACTCCAGCCCAGCCAACACCAGGCCTGCCCAACCCCTGCCCACTCCCACCCCACTCCAGCCCAGCCAACACCAGGCCTGCCCAACCCCTGCCCACCCCCACCCCACTCCAGCCCAGCCAACACCAGGCCTGCCCAACCCCTGCCCACCCCCACCCCACTCCAGCCCAGCCAACACCAGGCCTGCCCAACCCCTGCCCACCCCCACCCCACTCCAGCCCAGCCAACACCAGGCCTGCCCAACCCCTGCCCACCCCCACCCCACTCCAGCCCAGCCAACACCAGGCCTGCCCAACCCCTGCCCACCCCCACCCTACTCCAGCCTAGCCAACACCAGGCCTGCCCAACCCCTGCCCACTCCCACCCCACTCCAGCCCAGCCAACACCAGGCCTGCCCAACCCCTGCCCCTGCATGGGGCATACCTTAGACGGTAGAACATGCTGCACTTAATCTGTCTGACATCCTCCAGTATTTATATAAAAGATTGCAGTCTTAAAATACCCCTCAACAACAACATTGCGATGTCAAGACGGAAACATCTGGCCCTCTCCATCATTTACACAACCTGCCTGAAAAGAACATTCTCAACCTTGAGGGTTTGAGTCATATACAGTGGGGAGAACAAGTATTTGATACACTGCCGATTTTGCAGGTTTTCCTACTTACAAAGCATGTAGTGGTCTGTTTTTTTTAATCATAGGTACACTTCAACTGTGAGAGACGGAATCTAAAACAAAAATCCAGAAAATCACATTGTATGATTTTTAAATAATTCATTTGCATTTTATTGCATGACATAAGTATTTGATACATCAGAAAAGCAGAACTTAATATTTGGTACAGAAACCTTTGTTTGCAATTACAGAGATCATACGTTTCCTGTAGGTCTTGACCAGGTTTGCACACACTGCAGCAGGGATTTTGGCCCACTCCTCCATACAGACCTTCTCCAGATCCTTCAGGTTTCGGGGCTGTCGCTGGGCAATACGGACTTTCAGCTCCCTCCAAAGATTTTCTATTGGGTTCAGGTCTGGAGACTGGCTAGGCCACTCCAGGACCTTGAGATGCTTCTTACGGAGCCACTCCTTAGTTGTCCTGGCTGTGTGTTTCGGGCCGTTGTCATGCTGGAAGACCCAGCCACGACCCATCTTCAATGCTTTTACTGAGGGAAGGAGGTTGTTGGCCAAGATCTCGCGATACATGGCCCCATCCATCCTCCCCTCAATACGGTGCAGTCGTCCTGTCCCCTTTGCAGAAAAGCATCCCCAAAGAATGATGTTTCCACCTCCATGCTTCACGGTTGGGATGGTGTTCTTGGGGTTGTACTCATCCTTCTTCTTCCTCCAAACACGGCGAGTGGAGTTTAGACCAAAAAGCTCTATTTTTGTCTCATCAGACCACATGACCTTCTCCCATTCCTCCTCTGGATCATCCAGATGGTCATGGACATGGGCTGGCTTGAGCAGGGGGACCTTGCGTGCGCTGCAGGATTTTAATCCATGACGGTGTAGTGTGTTGCTAATGGTTTTCTTTGAGACTGTGGTCCCAGCTCTCTTCAGGTCATTGACCAGGTCCTGCCGTGTAGTTCTGGGCTGATCCCTCACCTTCCTCATAATCATTGATGCCCCACGAGGTGAGATCTTGCATGGAGCCCCAGACCGAGGGTGATTGACCGTCATCTTGAACTTCTTCTATTTTCTAATAATTGCGCCAACAGTTGTTGCCTTCTCACCAAGCTGCTTGCCAATTGTCCTGTAGCCCATTACATTTTACATTTTAGTCATTTAGCAGACGCTCTTATCCAGAGCGACTTACAGGAGCAATTAGGGTTAAGTGCCTTGCTTAAGGGCACATCGACAGATTTTTCACCTAGTCGGCTCGGGGATTAGAACCAGCGACCTTTCGGTTACTGGCAGAACGCTCTTACCCACTAAGCTACCTGCCGCCCATCCCAGCCTTGTGTAGGTCTACAATTTTATCCCTGATGTCCTTACACAGCTCTCTGGTCTTGGCCATTGTGGATAGGTTGTAGTCTGTTTGATTGAGTGTGTGGACAGGTGTCTTTTATACAGGTAACGAGTTCAAACAGGTGCAGTTAATACAGGTAATGAGTGGAGAACAGGAGGGCTTCTTAAAGAAAAACGAACAGGTCTGTGAGAGCCGGAATTCTTACTGGTTGGTAGGTGATCAAATACTTATGTCATGCAATAAAATGCAAATTAATTACTTAAAAATCATACAATGTGATTTTATGGATTTTTGTTTTAGATTCCGTTTCTCACAGTTGAAGTGTACCTATGATAAAAATTACAGACCTCTACATGCTTTGTAAGTAGGAAAACCTGCAAAATCGGCAGTGTATCAAATACTTGTTCTTCCCACTGTAGCTGTGTGGTTTCCTATAATCCACATTTGTACATAAAACAATTGGTGTAAAGCACTGTACATGTGCATAGGCTACTGTAGTCCTACATGTTTCTCCTATCGCAGCATTTGCCTTGCGTTTGACGTGCCGTTCAGTTCATCACACAATACGACAAACAAGGTTTTTTAGTGCGTTCAAAAGAGCCATTGTGCCAGACCCGAATTTGTGCAAAAATTCTCCAATTAAGCTGTCAGATATGCACATAATGTATTCTGTCATCTCGAACTAACTCTGAGCTGCGATTGCGATCCAGTTGAAAGAATGGACAAATCAAGTTTTTTTTTTTTTCTGCCTCATTAGACTCTGATGGAGTCAACCCCATTATTACTATAATTTGCTGACATTCAGCTCGTCTCATGTGCTCTTCAGCCTTTGACTCCATCTCTCTCTCTCTTTTTGTTCAGAGTTTGCGATTTCTCTTGGTTCGGAAAATGTAGTGCTGGTTCATTGTTTGGGGCTTTTGTTTGAAGAGGTACAGGCTGAATTCAGAGCTATCCTACCACAGCTGAACCCTAACCCTTACGCAACCCCCTACCCTCCACACACACACAACCCCCCCCCCCCCCCCCCCCCCCCAAATCTCGACAGCTGTGTGTGTGATATGTGAAAAGCGATCAACGCTAACTTGGATAGCCTTTTGAAATGCTCCAGATGCATTCCTCCCTCCCTCCCTCCCTCTCTCCTGATATAGACTAATGGCCTTGCAGAGCCCTGAGCAGCAACATTTCACACCTGATGGATACAAACGGTCGCCACGGCACTCCAACACTCCCCATTGAGCCTCTTAATTGGGAATCAGAACTGAATAATAAAGGAGGCTTTCCATTAGGGGAGACCGAATGATTTATTTAAATGAAGCTTTTCAAGAGAGACAGAGCTGATGAAGTTATATGAAGGAGAGGAGGAAGAGGGGGGTACACACGACGCTCCACTGCGCTCCCTTTCAGAAAGAAATCCCCAGGCCTCCAATCTCCTACTCTAGTGGAAGCGGGGGGGATGATTGGAATAAAACAACAGACCTGAATGCTGCTTCTATGGAAAGTTCAGGCCTAGTTTGACTATCAGAGGCAAGGCTCTGCATACTATAAGTTTGTGCTGCAACTCTTTCATAAAAATAAGAAAATGTTTTTATGTGTAGTACGGCTATGATATTCTGGCTAATGGTACACCATGATCCTTACTATACACATTTACATTTTAGTCATTTAGCAGACGCTCTTATCCAGAGCGACTTACAGTTAGTGCATACATTATTTTATTTTTTTTCATACTGGAATCGAACCCACAACCCTGACGTTGCAAACGCCATGCTCTACCAACTGAGCTACATCCCTGCCGGCCATTCCCTCCCTTAACCTGGGCGACGCTGGGCCAATTGTGCGCCGCCCCATGGGTCTCCCGGTCGCAGCCGGCTACGACAGAGCCTGGATTCGAACCAGGATCTCTCTCTCTTAGACCACTGCGCCACTCGGGAGGACACACCATATACCAAAACTAACCATAGCTATAACCATAACGAGCCTGACGCTAGTTTTGGAACTTTGATATATAAGCTTGTCCTCTCCAGCCATCTAATCTAGGTTGTGTGTCCATCCTCAGATCTCCTACAAGGCCCTCAGCTCCTTCGACACAGAGTTTGACCTGAGCAACCAGAGCGGTAGGGTGTTCAAGTTCAGCAATGAGACGTTCCACATGTTTGTGGGTCTCTACCCCGGCTCCACCTACTCATTCACCCTCCGGGCCAGCACCATCAAGGGCTTCGGAACCCCCATCATCACCCAGTTCACCACCAAGATCTCAGGTGAGGAGAAACGATGGTCAAGATGAACACACCTAGTCCTTGACAATTTGTACTGTAGTGCCCAAAATCCTCCAGGAGATCCCCAATAATACAGCAGTGTTTGTGTTTCTGGTGTCTGTGTTTGTCTACATTTTTGTGTACTGTGTACTTACTGTTATGTGTCGGTCTCTGTCGGTCTCAATGTCGTCTGTCTCTCTGTCGGTCGATCTGTCTCTCTGTCGGTCGATCTGTCTCTCTGTCGGTCGATCTGTCTCTCTCTGTCGGTCGATCTGTCTCTCTCTCTGTCGGTCGATCTGTCTCTCTCTCTGTCGGTCGATCTGTCTCTCTCTCTGTCGGTCGATCTGTCTCTCTCTGTCGGTCGATCTGTCTGTCTCTCTGTCGGTCGATCTGTCTCTCTCTCTGTCGGTCGATCTGTCTCTCTCTCTGTCGGTCTCTATGTCATCTGTCTCTCTGTCGGTCGATCTGTCTCTCTGTCGGTCGATCTGTCTCTGTCGGTCGATCTGTCTCTCTCTCTGTCGGTCGATCTGTCTCTCTCTCTGTCGGTCGATCTGTCTCTCTCTCTGTCGGTCGATCTGTCTCTCTCTCTGTCGGTCGATCTGTCTCTCTCTCTGTCGGTCGATCTGTCTCTCTTTGTCGGTCGATCTGTCTCTCTCTGTCGGTCGATCTGTCTCTCTCTCTGTCGGTCTCTATGTTGATCTGTCTCTCTCTCTGTCGGTCGATCTGTCTCTCTGTCGGTCGATCTGTCTCTGTCGGTCGATCTGTCTCTCTCTCTGTCGGTCGATCTGTCTCTCTCTCTGTCGGTCGATCTGTCTCTCTCTCTGTCGGTCGATCTGTCTCTCTCTCTGTCGGTCGATCTGTCTCTCTCTGTCGGTCGATCTGTCTCTCTCTCTGTCGTCGATCTGTCTCTCTCTGTCGGTCGATCTGTCTCCTCTCGTGTCGGTCGATCTGTCCTCTCTCTCTGTCGTCGATCTGTCTCTCTCTCGTCGGTCGATCGGTCTCTCTCTCTGTCGGTCGATCGGTCTCTCTCTTTTGTCGGTCGATCGGTCTCTCTCTCTGTCGTTCGATCGGTCCTCTCTCTCTGTGGTCGTGATCGTCTCTATGTCGGTCGATCTGTCCCTCTCTGTCGGTCGATCTGTCTCTCTCCTGTCTGTCGATCTGTTCCTCTCTCTGTCGGTCGATCTGTCTCTTCCTCTTCTGTTCGGTCTCTATGTTGATCTGTCTCTCTCTCTGTCGGTCGATCTGTCTCTCTGTCTGTGGGTTCTGCCCTCTGTCGGTCGATCTGTCTCTCTCTCTGTCGGTCAATCTGTCTCTCTCTCTGTCTGTGTCGATCTGTCTCTCTCTTTTGTCGTCGATCTGTCTCTCTCTCTGTCGGTCGATCTGTCTCTCTCTCTGTCGGTCGATCTGTCTCTCTCTCTGTCGGTCGATCTGTCTCTCTCTCTGTCGGTCGATCTGTCTCTCTCTGTCGGTCGATCTGTCTCTCTCTGTCGGTCGATCTGTCTCTCTCTCTGTCGGTCGATCGGTCTCTCTCTCTGTCGGTCGATCGGTCTCTCTCTCTGTCGGTCGATCGGTCTCTATGTCGGTCGATCTGTCTCTCTGTCGGTCGATCTGTCTCTCTCTGTCGGTCGGGATTTCTGTCTCTGTCGGTCTGTCTTTGTATGTCTGTCTTTGTCTGTATGTGTCAGTCGAATCACCCCATAGAGATAGATAGAGGACTATTTTTTATATCTGTGCCATTATAGCGTCTGTGACAGCATGGGCAGCACCATTGAGGCTACAACCCATAGGAATCCCCACCCAGTTGACTACTTTAAAATGGCGGAAGCATGGTGGAAGCCCTGAATGTCAATGTCCATGCTAAAACGGGTTATATCCATGATGAGTCCTCTATCTGTCTCTGAGTCACCCTCTCCTGTGCTCCTGTGTTCCCCCCATAGCTCCGTTGATGCCAGGCTATGACCAGGAGACTCCCCTGAACCAGACAGACAGCACGGTCACCGTCCTGCTGAAGCCTGCCCAGAGCCGAGGAGCCCCCGTCAGGTAAACCCATTCACACCTCACTGCACACGTCAACACACACATGCACGCACGCACGCACACACACCGATTAACACCCTGCCCTCACTCCCACCCCTATTGTCCTCTCCTCCTCTCACCACCACAATGCCGTTCACCCCACAAATCGCCTCGGCTGCCAACCGCCACGGCCTCCCGCTGACCTAATTGATTGTAATTGCCTTGGGAAGAGAGTGTCTTTATCCATACTTCTGTTTTGATAGGGGTTTTTACAATGCATCACGTCTTCATGTGGCCATTTGATCTGAGCAAGCGGCGCTTTTCTACCTTTTGAAGATAAGAATAAAGCTTTTTCTCAGACTCCAAAGATGAGTGCTCGCTCTCGCTCTCTCTCTCTCTCTCTCGCTCTTCCTCTTATGTTGCCAGGTACATCTGGAAGCACAGATTGTCATCAAGGGTGTCTCTCCTTTGATTTGCACACCACTGTAAATAAACAGAACAAATGAGAAATATGCAATATGCTTGCCTGGGATCACAAACTGCGGTTTGAGCCTTTATTTTTTCTCCTTGAAAAGGATGGTTGAGAGAGAAATCAAGAACAGCGATGGCAGGTTCCCACACCCCGGCTATGTTATCATTCCCTCATTTGCTGCTGCTGCCGCTAGTGCTGCCGACGAGCTCTCCATGAAACCTACGGCTGTAATTTGTCTGGCACTAAATGCCCAGACAAATGTGTGTAAGAGAGAGAGAATGTACTTGCAGGAGCATGCACGTGCGTGCGCGTGTGTGTGCACTGCAGACTGCAGATATTCTAGCGGGTGGGTCTGAAGTCGTCCCCCACACAGACAGGATATCCAGCTACGGTCATGACTGTGTTGTTGTCAGAGCTCCAGCTCTTAGTCATGAAGTCCTTGTACTGCATTAAGTTCACAGTTACGTTATCACAAGCCCTGCATTGTTTTTTAATCATTCATAGGCACACACACACACACACACACACACACACACACACACACACACACACACACACACACACACACACACACACACACACACACACACACACACAGGGGCTGTCCAGCAGCTGGAGTGATTAAGTGTTTTAATGATTCAGACTGAGGAGCTAACCAGTGTCTCTACGGAGTGTACACACATATATATATGCACACACACACACACAGGCTTCAGGCTGAAGGTCCCTGGCCACAAATAAGATTGCTGAGAGAAGTATTGACTTAACACAAAGAGGGGCAGAATCCTCGCTCCGCTCCCCCCACCACACACGAAACAACAACCTATCTCTGTTATCAAATGAAAGGATAAAAAGTCTGAATGAACCAGCTGTATAAATGCTGTAAATCTGCCTGTGCTTTAGCGCATGGTGGCCCTTCATGAAGTATTCACTGTCCACTCCTGTCTGAAGCCACTTTAATGGCCGTTTGAGAAAAGTGACAAAAGACACTGAGAGAAACACTGAGTGGCTCCTCTCTTTACCTCGCATGAATAGAGCCTAAATTACACAGTAGGACCGTAGATATGTTAGCCTTTTACACCTGCCGATCACATACTAAAAAAGGAATGCACTCACTGGAAGTTGCTTTGGATAAAACCATCTCCTAAGTGGTATATTGGTATTGTTTTTATGAGGTAGACTGAGCCAAACGCCCGCAAGATATCCACAAAAGGTAGGACACTGGAATTCACATGCCATCAAACATTATCTTTTAATTCAGTATCCTTTAATTTGACAATAGTGTCACCTATGACAGGTGTCACAATGCCCCTCAAAATATCACTATGGTAAGATTAACACCAACAATAAACACACTTAACTGTCAGCCCTCCTCCAATCCCACGCAGGTACACTTTTTTTTTCTCCCCAACGACGTCTTGACGACTGTCATTCTGTCACATTGGCTCATCGTTGTCATCTTAATTACAGTTAATGGCTCTTAATGAAATCACAGGATTAGCTAATTAGCGCATTTAGGCCATTTTTGGTTGACTGGTAGGGAGTCGCTAACAGATAAAAGAGAGGATTTGGCGACTAAAATGTTCTCTGGGTTGTATAACTCCCCATAATCCCAGCACAATGGCTCACCAGGAAATTAAATCAAATCAAAGGCTGTAAATTGGAGCGATGTATGATTAATTGGGATTAATAGTCATTATGACACATTTAGGATATTCTGATACTGTATATTGAAGAGCATTATCAACCGTCAATCAAGTGACGTAATATTTAGTTCTACTGCCATAACTATTATTATTAATATTCCCAATTTCTATGCTTCAGAGTTGTTAAACATGTTGGTCACAGCTCTCTCCCTGACATTTAAAAAGGTTTCCTTCAAAGTGTACTTGTGTGTTCTCTGCTACCACGTGACATGTTGAAAGCACCAAATCATGTGTGCGCTCTAGCCAGCGACTCTATATGTTGTTACATGTATGTAGCAGTCTGTCACAAGAGACTAGTAGAAAGGTGATGAACACATTCAGTCACAATCCCCATACTCCTTCTATCCGGCTACAGTCAGTAAAGAGGGGGGGGAAGAAACAAACTAAGAAATGAAAGTCAAAAGGAGGATGAAAAGCAGAGCATTTGAAGGAGTCTCCTCTTTTCCTCCCAGCATATTATGACAGGATGACAGTTGTGGCGGAGAGCAACACTGTAGGTCCCATTTAGGGAGGGGGAAGGCACGTGTCACAATAAGTGGCTGAAAAGATCATCCTCTGTTGCTACAGCTTGTAAAGAACGCATGCATATACAGTTGAAGTCGGAAGTTTACATACACCTTAGCCAAATACATTTCAACTCAGTTTTTCACAATTCCTGACATTTAATCCTAGTAAAAAATCCCTGTCTTAGGTCAGTTAGGATTACCACTTTATTTTAAGAATGTGAAATATCAGAATAATAGTAGAGAGAATTATTTATTTCAGCTTTTATTTCTTTCATCACATTCCCAGTGGGTCAGAAGTTTACATACACTCAATTAGTATTTGGTAGCATTGCCTTTAAATTGTTTAACTTGGGTCAAACTTTTCGGGTAGCCTTCCACAAGCTTCCCACAATAAGTTGGGTGCATTTTGGCCCATTCCTCCTGACAGAACTGGTGTAACTGAGTCAGATTTGTAGGCCTCCTTGCTCACACACACGCTTTTTCAGTTCTGCCCACACATTTTCTATAGGATTGAGGTCAGGGCTTTGTGATGGCCACTCCAATACCTTGACTTTGTTGTCCTTAAGCCATTTTGCCACAACTTTGGAAATATGCTTTGGGTAATTGTCCATTTGGAAGACCTATTTGCGACCAAGCTTTAACTTCCTGACTGATGTCTTGAGATGTTGCTTCAATATATCCACATAATTTTTCTTCCTCATGATGCCATCTATTTTGTGAAGTGCACCAGTCCCACCTGCAGCAAAGCACCCCCACAGCATGATGCTTCCACCCCCGTGCTTCACGGTTGGGATGGTGTTCTTCGGCTTGCAAGCGCCCCCCCCTTTTCCTCCAAACATAACAATGGTCATTATGGCCAAACAGTTCTATTTTTGTTTCATCAGACCAGAGGACATTTCTCCAAAATGTACGATCTTTGTCCCCATGTGCAGTTGTAAACCGTAGTCTGGCTTTTTTATGGCAGTTTTGGAGCAGTGGCTTCTTCCTTGCTGAGCGGCCTTTCAGGTTATGTCGATATAGGACTCGTTTTACTGTGGATATAGATACTTTTGTACCTGTTTCCTCCAGCATCTTCACAAGGTCCTTTGCTGTTGTTCTGGGATTGATTTGCACTTTTCGCACCAAAGTATGTTAATCTCTAGGAGACAGAAGGCGTCTCCTTCCTGAGCGATATGACGGCTGCGTGGTCCCATGGTGTTTATACTTGCTTACTATTGTTTGTACAGATGAACGTGGTACCTTCAGGCATTTGGAAATTGTTTCCAAGGATGAACCAGACTTGTGGAGGTCTACAATTTGTTTTCTGAGGTGACATGACATCATTTTCTGGAATTTTCCAAGCTGTTTAAAGGCACAGTCAACTTAGTGTATGTGAACTTCTGACCCACTGGAGTTGTGATACAGTGAATTATAAGTGAAATAATCTGCCTGTAAACAATTGTTGGAAAAAGTACTTGTGTCATCCACAAAGTAGATGTCCTAACCGACTTGCCAAAACTATAGTTTGTTAACAAAACTATAGTTTTCATACACTTAGGTTGGAGTTTTAATGACTCCAACCTAAGTGTATGTAAACTTAAGACTTCAACTGTACATTCAATTAATGAGCTCTAGATCAATTCTGAATGCATTATCATATGCCACCGTTCTTCTTTGGAGGGATGATACATCTAATTTTAGCACTTTGTTTTAACATGATGTGAGTCGGTAGCATTGGAATTGATGTCGTTCATTACACGCCATAACGTCGCCATAACGTCCTCCCCGTTGATGGGATTTAGTCAGCCAAATTTGAATGTGAATTACCAGATGTTTTGCTGTGATACATTTCACTAAGAATGCAACCCATCCAACTGATTGGATACGTTTGGTAAAAGCACTTGAATGACAATGAGTCGGGACGCACACAAAATCACAACCTTTGCTTAACTTAACAGCCAAATTAAAGAAGGCAGGGCTATATTTGCTAGGCTTTTTCCTGAAAAACAAATACACACACACGTCGCGTTTGGTGCATAAAGCCTTGAGGGGCTGCATCATTGACAGGCTGGTGTTTGAAGCGGTCTCTCTGGCAGCGTTACATATGCGTGGTGCTACAATAGCAACCTTAGCAGGGGCAAGCTGCTTCTTTAAATGGATTACTGTCAGTCACGTTAGCACCCGCGCTAATGTGTCAAATCTGCTACACCCGGGCTAGAACACTCATCACCCTACACACACAATCACACGCTCCTCATTCCTCCTCCTCACTTCCTGTGCCAAGACAAGCGTTTACACAGTGCTGTGGAGGAAGATGACTTGTGGCCTCCTAAACCCAACGTTGCCCCAGCCACGGAGT